GGTGCAGTGTCTTTAAGTAAGCTGGGAACGCTTTAAAAGTCAGAGTAATACCTTGCTGAGTGATTAAATTCCCCGGGGAATGGCTTACAAGTTAAATTTTTTTGCAACGATTTTTAGTTTTGTATGTTAAAGGTGCTTGAAATTGCCTTTCCTGGTCCCTGGTTTGAGGTGTTGTTTTCTGATGTCTGCTACCCTTTCCCTTCTTGGAATCTGATACCTAGCATGGGCATCCATGTGTATTTGAGGCTGTACAATTCCTGTTACCAGTCATTTCAAAGGTGTTACTGTTTGTGTTTGTGCTGTTTGCTGCTGAGCCTATAGCTTTTACTGTTGCCCAGGAAGAAACTAATTATTTCTTACTAAGGGACTTTGTCATTGAGCTTCAGAAATGCCACTTTATTCCTGGCCCCCTTTTTTTTTATCAATGAGAATTTCTCTGTTTACCCAGTCCTGTTGCTGATGTGGAAATAACTGAAGATACCTTACCCTCATTATCTCTGTTAATTACTTTGTTTGGATTAGGTCTTCCTCTTTGGATTCCCATGGTTGTTTAAAATATTCAAAGTGCTCCAGATGGTTTAAAAAGTGCAGTAGCTACCTGCAAGACACAAAATGTATCAACTTGTACAAAATTCTTCCCTCTTTAGACGAAGCCTGAGGTTCTGCAGTCTGCAGCTTTGTGCACTCAAACCAACACTGGTTCAATTATTTACCTCCCACTCACAAGAGTGGAATATTCTCTTAACAAGATCCCACGGTCCTTCTTCAGCTCCATGAGTTCTTTGACCCTGCATTTTCATTGTGCTGCAAATCCATTTGTTTTTATATGTTGTACCCAAGAAGACTTGACAATGACTCTGGAGTTCTGTATTAGGTTGCATCTTGTATCTTTGCTGAAAGGCAGTAGCACTTTTTCTTCTTGTCCTTTTCCAAGCTGATTTTCTGTTCTTAGTTGGATTTTACAAATTATCATTGCTTTAAAAGGAAACATCATGTAGGCTGGAAATCATTTAGAAAAGTCACCCACAAACAGTAACAGAATCTCAGCCGTGACTAATGATAGTATTGCTGGTCTATAATTCAGTTAAATCTTCAAGAAAGATTTAAGACTTTTATAATTTAAAGCCTTATGGTTAATCAACCATGTCCTTTATTACAGTTTTTTTGTTAGTTATCACTGCCATTGAAACTGCCACTCTATATTACTACTTTTTAAAATTTTAATCCATAGGGTCTTGCTATGCCTTTGTTGAGTACATTAAAGTCTTCTGCTATAAGAAGTCTTTCTACTTATGTAATGAATTACAGACCATGATCAAGTCACTGTATTCATCTTTCCAAACAGCTGAATTAAATTGAGCTGGTTGAGGTGTCTCACCATAAGGCTTGGCTCCATTATGTAGTTTTTATCTGTTGCCTTTCTTTTCCCTTTTAGCGACCCACCTGTGCAGTGTTTGGCTGAAGTCTTGCTACATTAGGCCTAGATGGCTATCTTGAGCCACCAAACTTAGGCTGCCATACAAGGACATCCAGTTCTTTTAATTAGGTCTTTTCCTTCAAGTTAAAACAAACAGCAGCACGTTTCTTTCCTTAGCCGAGTGCAAGCCCTGTCAATGCCACTGTGATTTTGCCACATCAGTGTTAGGTTAACTGCCTTAGAGCAACCTGGATGAGCCCACTTGATTTACAAATACTTTTTAAGTCAAAGTATTGGCTGGTCTGGAACACATTCAGAGAACTTCAGAGTTGTTTGGAAAAGAAAGCCCATTGCTTCCATCTGCTTACCAGAGAATTCTTTTCAAATTACTGATTGTCAGTTTCTAGCTATGCAACTTCTAGGATGTTTTATTTAATGGGTAGAACTAAACATCTTCCTAAATCTCATTGGCAATAGGTAATATTTCATTACCTCATGGATGTGTCTACATCATCCAACTTTCTTCCTAATATAGAATATAATTATGAGATTCTGTCTGTCTTCTATATTTTTATTGATTATTTTATCATCTTTATATCAACTAAAGGATATATATCATGTTTAGGATTTTCTTCTGATATTTTGCAGGTAATGTACCTGAAAGCTGCCCAAGTTTACTAGTGCAGTTTCAGAACATAGAATGAAATTGCTCTGTACACTTCCTTAACTACAAGATAGGTACCTGTTCAATCGTCCTTTCAGGTACAACAGATTAAATTTGTGTGCATGGTTTCTTGTTTCTGTATAGTAGAACACCAAAGTACTAGAGAGATGTAGTAACTTGGTCCAACAAACATTTCGATTTCATGTAGTGTCTGTGTAATGAATGGAAAAAAACTGCAAGAAAAGAAATCGTGACACCAAAGAACTAGAGTCTACGCCTAGTTTTGCTGCTGAAGTAGGGTATGTTTTTGAAACATGGACACAGTTATAATTTGTGGCCTTTGGCATCCTCTTTCATTTGTATAGCTAATTAACCTCCTTGGGGCCAAGTGCTGCAGATCAATCATTTGTCTTTTGTGAGAACAAAGTGTGGGTACCTCTCAAGTTTCCTGAAGACAGGAAATTGAAAGTTCAGAGACCTCTGAACTGAGAATGTTAAAGAGTGAGAAGAGCTGAACGTACCTCAACAGCAAAAAGGTAACTGAACGAGGCTCAGGAGTTAGAGCTGTCCTGCTGGGTTTTGCGTGAGGAACCCTCTCAAGCACTGGCCTTCACCTCACAGTCCATGGACAGCATTTAAGAAGTCTATAAGGTAACTGAAATCTGGAGGCTTGAATTTGGTATGCAGATGTTTACATTTCCAAGGGAAAACACACAGGCATCTGTAGATCAATAAAGGTTCAGAACCACTCCTGCAGACTGCTTCCATAGGCAGTGCAGCTTTCCTGTGGGAGGTGCTGAGGCCTGGGCAGCACTGCTCATCCTGCAGGTCAGCTGTGGAGCCAGGAGCTACCTACAGGATTAACTGCAGGATGGAGCTGTAGCAGCAACCTGGGGTGAGGGGGAGGAGTGTGATAACCACAGGGGTTAGTTAGCCTGTGAGCCTTAGTTCCTACAGCACTTGCCAAAGGATCAGCATGTGAGGCTGGGTGAGGGTTAGACATAAATGTGCCTGGGTCTCTAGAGCTCATTTCAGCTGGGAAAGCACCTTCCTGCACAATCATCTGCACCCGTGCTCGGACTTCAGCGTGCAGAAGCGTTTAAAAAAACGTTCCTCCTCTCGACAAATAACTACCATGCTGACACTTCCTCTGCGGGTGAGGATGCTTCTGGAGCCCTGAGCGATGCAAACCCTTTCTTTGCCTTTGTAAAGAAAGCAAAAATAACAAGCTGTCCGGGACTCAGAGCTCAGGAACTAGTTGTTGCTGGAATGGTAGAATTTCTACTGCTGTGAGACCACACAGGCACACAAAACTGCCTCTCCCCTTTATTTTGCAAACTTACAGTGTCAGTTCATGCAGTTAGAGACCTATTTGTACAATTTACTGAGATTTGCCATTTAGATTTTAGGCAAGTGCCTCTTCTTTGCCCTATCATTTGTGGCAAGAAGTCCAGAGGGAAATTGTATTTCTGGCATCTTCCCTAGCCTTGGCTTGGAGGATAAGATGGGGTTCCCAGGTGGTCTCTTAAACAAATGAGATGTCTGAGAATGTTTGATTTTTCACATCAGCTCCATTCAGCTTGGTAGCCCATGCAGGATGTGTTTGGGAGATTCTGGTTTAGAACTGGTATAGGGAGCAGATTTTTTTTTTTTTAATGTAACAGCCACATCCTTCCCCTTAATTAACAGTATAAGGCAATTTATATGAGAATTTTGAAGGACTTTAAAGAGGCTTAACAATAATGTTCAGCTAACTGAAGCCAGCTGCTCCACATGGGAACTGAAAAGACTAAGAAATGTGTTTTGAATAATTAAAAATATGTCATAAATAACTTAAATGACTGTAGGAAGAGGAATGGAAAGCTCCATCATCAGAACACAGAGGATCTCTGAATTAACCCAGTAGTTTAACAGCAAGATGGTTCATAGTTCAAACAGCTGCAGTTCCTTTATGTAACAGCTCCTCAGTCTTGCAGTGCAGGCTCCTCAAAGACTTAATCCAAGTATATCCATATATAAAGGTAAAGGCATGGTGTCTTGGAAGATCTTTGGGAGGAAAAGAGAGAAGAATAAATCTGACCACTTCTCCTTGTGGCCAGAACCTGGGAGCATTCAGTGCTGGGCAATGGCTGTCATTACACAGACTGTCAGGAAAAAACAGGATGGTGTAGATGGGTAGGCAGGAGAAAGGTGGATAAAATGTATTTACCAAACCTAGTGTCTCCTAAACTGTATAGGATGCCAAACGATTGCTGACCTCTTGGAAAAAACCTAAGTCTCAACAGAAGTAAGATAATTCTGTCCCAGTTCCTCCATAAACGCATGTGACTTCACAGCACCGCACCCTGCAAAGAACGGCTGGGGAAGGGCTCCTCAGCTCCGCAGCACCTTGGGCTCTAAACCTTCGGGTGGCTCGTGGTGCATGGTCACGGCAGTGGTCCTGGCATGACGGAGAGAAAGAGCAGGGTCACAGGTTTAACGGGATGGCCTTTGTGAGCCTGTTGGAAGTGTTATGTGGCAGCGGCCTGTCGCAGCAGAGACCATCCAGCTCGGCTCATGGCACAGCAGCAGCTGCTCGGCACTGGTGCACTACGAGGCGGATGGAAAACCATCGTGACAAGTCAACAGCGCTGCCCAGATCACGGAACGGGCCCGGCTGAGGGAGCGCAGCGTGTCACTGCTGCAGCCTCCCTCTCAAGCGGGGTCATTCATCCCGGAGCGCAGGCACAAGACTGCCTCCAGACGGCTCTGGAGTGTCTCCAGTGAGGGAGACGCCACAGGCTCTCTGGGCAGCCTGTCCCAGTGCCCAGCCACCCGCACAGGAACAAGTTCTCCTCATGCTCAGGTGGAACTTGTGTGCATCAGTTTCTGTCCTAGTGCTTGGCCTCACCAAGGAGAGTTTCACATTCTCCTTTCAGGTACTTATAGGCGTGGATGGGGTTCCCTCTGAGTGGTCTGAGCCTCTCGGGCTGGACAGGCGCAGCTCCCTCGGGCTTTTCCCGCAGGAGCGCTGCCCCAGCGCCCCGGTCGGCCCCGCAGAGCCCGAAATGGCGGCGGCAGCGGGCGGAAGCGCCGGGGCGGGCGGGCGGAAGCGGCTTCGCGGCCGGGCAGCGCCGCTTCCGGGCCCGCGCGCGTGCGCCTCCCGGCGGAAGCGGCGGAGTGCGGGCGAAGATGGCGGCGGGGATGTACCTGGAGCACTACCTGGACAGTAAGAGCCGCCGGGCGGGGCCCAGGCCGCCGCCGAGCCGGCCCGGGGGCACGCACGGGCCGAGGGGCGGGGCCGAGCGCTGCCCAGGGCGCCCGCGGGCTCTCCCCGCCCCTCGGGCGCAGCCCGGTCCCCGCGCCGTGCCGAGAGGCCCCGGCCGCGGGGCAAAGCTCGGCTGCGGCTGCGGCGGGAGCCCGGAGCCCGCGGCTGCTTTGTCCCCTGAGAAAGGAGCCCGGTGCAGCTCCAGCCGCCTCGCGGGAGCGGGGGCTCGGCTGTCAGCGGTTCCCCGGGATAGACCTCGAGCCACAGATAACTTTTGGATCTGTGGGGCGGTAGTTTTGTTAGCTTTCTACGGTGTCAGTGTACAAATGCAGCCCCGCTTTTCTGGCCGAAGAGGAGCTCTGTAAATGCTAATGGAGTTGGCAACGTTATCAGAGCCCTCCTATGATACCTCTTATTTTACCATCCTGCCTTAAGGTGCTTAAAACTTCGTCAAACTCTGACCTTTGGGGATGAGACTTTCCGTGCATGTTGTGCCCACGTGTTCTTAAAATAGCCGAGCAGATCCATCAGAGTTGTTTCTCAATGAATGGGCTAATGAGTTAAAATTGAATAACCTGTTCTTTGAGGAATGCTGTTCTCACATTTTCCTGCTGGTCTGGTGTTGGCACTATAGACGGGAGGATGTTCACGGGATGGTGTGTTTAAAGCTGGGCGGTTCTGGCAATGTGTCTTCTGCTTTACTGTACCCAGCCAGTTAAATCTCGCACTGTCTGCTTGCATATGCATGGGAAAAAATGGAGTTTGGCTCTTCAGGTGTCCTGTTACACCGGGTTTCTTCCAGCAGAGAAATTATATGGTGCTGATATGGACACAGGGTGTCTCGTTCCTTGCATCTTCAGTGCTTCTTTTGTCTTTAAGAAAAGAAATGTCTCTAAAGATATTCAAGAACTATAACAAATTTCAGTGAAAGCTGAAAAGAAGCTGCAGTTGTGAACAGGCAAGGATCTATGAGGTGCAAGGAAGGAGGCAAAAGCCAAGAAGAAGAGTTGAATGAGGAGGCAGGTTGGAGAGGAGCAAAGATTTGTGTTCTTGTGCAGTTCTCACTCTGCTGTAGAAGGCTGCAGTTGACTGAGGTTCCTCAGCTGGGAGGACAAGGGTTGGGAAAGAGGAGAAAGAAGCAGATGGACAAGGAGTAAGTGCACGGGGGGGGGGGGGGGGGCAGGGCTTTCCTGCTGCCAGGGCAGGGGGTGTATTTTGGGTAAGAGCTGCAGAGCAGAGATAAAGCAGCAAAAGCCTGGGGTCTGCAGGTGGTGAGCAGAGACGAGCAGGATGAGCTCTGAGTGTGGAGAGGTACTGTACGTACACAGTTGGAAAGAAGGGAAGGTTGGTGGCTGGAGAATGCTCCTGCCAAACACCTCTGGATCATGTCATCACAGTCAATTAAAATCAGCCATCCTGGGAGCTTCTCTTCCTCTCTTGTACAGGCATGCAGAGGAAATGCCAAAGTCTTCTCTCTCAGCTGAGATTTGTGGTCCTGCAATTGGATTAGAGATTCTTGTCCTGTTGAAGGTGGACATTAATACAGGAGAGTTACTGTTATTGTTGAGGTGTCTTGCGAAAAAAATATAATGAAAATGATTTTCACAGTCTAAAAGTCCTTAAAAGTATCTGGTTACAAGGAGTTTAGGAAGAACAAAACATTCCTTGCTGTGATGGTTTAGCCTTTTTTACTTACCATTAGATCTCTAAGGCCTTTTTCAGTTTGGTCTGGTGCAACATGACTTGCTGTTATTAGCTAGTCATAAGACACTCTCTGTGGTTATTCTAGATTCCTTTCAGGAAAGCATATATGTATTGTGATACTTGGCATCAAAGTGCACCCATCACAGTCTTCAGGAAGTTAGGCTGCTGATAGGTAATAGCATATATTTCTAATTACCCATATTGTTCTGCTCTAAGCCTTCTCTCCTCTCCTGGCCTTCTGCCTGAACCCTGACTGTGAAAATCCATACAGCATTTTAGACACAAGTCTTCTTCTTGATGCTAACTGACTGACAGCATTCAGTTTCCTTCTTGCTGCTCCCCTTTTTCCCCCACATTATTTCAGTATTTTAAAAACATTCAGTTCTGTTTTAAAATAGTTCACTTATATCCTAAAACTTCCTGAATTTTGATAGAAATAAATAGTCCAGAACTTTTGGTCATCTCTTATAAAAAGTGTCTAATTCTTAATTTACATATGTGCCTTGAAACTGAATTCTTTTAGTCGTATAGTGCTCTTGCAGACACAGTTTTCAGTTGAATGTCTTTTATCTTCCCACAGAGATTCTCTTTCCTATGGTTGTCTGTCTGGATCTGCTCAGGGAATGAATGAGGAATGTGGGATGAAAGAGGGCAGTTATTTGTAGGACCTCTTCATATCTTTGAATAAAGAAGGTTTGTGAGGAATTAGTGAAAACTGTAGGAAGAAAAAAGGTGGCCTCCTGTTTGAAGCAACTGAACATCACTCTGACAAAGTGAGTTTGGTGGGGTTTTTTTTTATGTCGTGAGTCCCACTTTGTACAGGTTTTCCTTGCTTGGATTGTGCTTCCCTCAGATTAAGAGTGGAAATTTTTAGTCAGAGGAGCAGATGTGCAGAATGCTTATAGCTGCAGCTGGAGTCTGCCTTGGACAGATAATTCTGAGAAATCATGCTGTGAAGCATTTTTGCACATTTCGAGAGGAGGTTTGTAATTAGCTGGCCTTCTTGGCTTTAATCTCTTGGCCTCAGTAAATCTCTTGGCCTTCATTCTGTTGGTGAGGGAAATGGGCCACTCCACTGCAGCATTGAGAAAACACTTTATTGTCACAATAGTAAACACCTTGAAAAGCTGATTACAAAGTCAGATTTCAGATTGAGCTCTGGGTATGAGCATGTGACTCTACTGAGCAGAGAGAATAAAATAAAACTTTGAATCAGTGCTCAGTCACTGGGAATGAGAAGCACCGTGTATGAAACATCATGTGAGTAGGTAATTAAAAACTGTATTAAAAACTGCATGAGCAGCCTGACAAAGTTAGGCATACAGCCCCAGTTGGCTTCAGTTCATATATTTTGAGCCCTCTACTTTAGATATCTAAAATTCTTTTCCATGATTTTTCTGTGGACTAGCCAAGTTAAGAAGAGTTAGGAAAAAATATTTAGAAGCTTCTTAGGTCGGGTATTTCAGCAGCTTTCAAGTCCTTGCTGTAAATTAAAACTGGGTTTAGACCTAGGATTAGGCATGCCCTTTTCCTTGGCTTTAAGCTGTTAATTACAAAGCAGATCTGTCTGAAATCTCTTATGCTCTTGGCAGATGCTTTTGCAGCAGAAAAATACAAGCATTCCTTCTGTAATGAGCATCCTGACAGAGAAACTCCGTATCTTGTTCTACTCTGATCACTTTCATTCCTTCATCCTACTTACTGAGCCAAAGGATTCAGGGAATGGGAGAAGAGGAATGTATCTTATTCCACTTTTCTTTTTCTCCAGTGGCTGAATTTAAACATAAGAAGATTTCCATGTCTTCAAATATTGTCCTCTTCCTGGTTTCTAAACCATTCTATGCCTGGTTTTGCTTTTTTGCTTTTCCTCAAGCAGTAACGGAGTGCAGCTTTAGTAAGGGGAAACCTATGGGTACAAAGGAGTTAGAGATGTAGAAAGGAGTGGAGGAAGAAGGAGGAAGAAAACAGTGTTTTGTGATTAAAAGATGGAATGTACATAAAGACTCATGAGAAGAATTTGTGCTTGCTCAAGCTTGAGTTGCTGTGTTTGGCTCAGTGTTGGCCCTCGTATGAGGTTGGAAGTATTGCTGTGGAGGCTTTGAGGGGCAGAAAGGGATAATGTGATTCATACAGGTTTTCTAGAAGGTGAGATGCAAACCCTGAGTTTTCTTTGTGTTTGGAAGTTTAAAGTTTTCCTTTGTGAAAGATGTTGAAGCACACAGAAAATAGTCCGCAATCAAGTCTCTGTTTATATGTGAACCTGCCATGAGTGTAGGGATTGTCTTTATAGTAGAGGGAGGTGCTGTGCAACCACCTGTGTTTTCTGCCATCAGTGCTTCCCTGTTTACCCTTCTAATGGGTGCCAGAATAAAGTACATGTACTTTGTGACAACACATGAATAATCTTTTACAGCAACATACCAAGGTGTGTACCTCCCCTCAACAACAAGAACTGTTTCTGTCTTCCCTGAGGAACTAAAGCCAGCATTTCATCTAAACTAGACCTCAGCATTTGGGAGAGCCATGAGCAGCAAGAGCAGCAGGTAACCTTGGTGAGCTGGAGTGGCAGAAGGATGTCACAGGCCAGGCTGCTCAGATGGCTGTGTTATATTAATTCTGGTGCCTTGGAGGCCACCAGGCAGGAGCTGTTCAGGAGCAGGCACTGGGACATGTCTACCTCTGTGCAGGGAGTGATGGAGATGACAGGCTTAGGTGAGGAGGCCTCAGCTGGTAAGTTAACATGGTGCTATGTAGTCAATATACCTTGGGTTTTTCCCTTTTTTTTTATGTTGGTTAGGGAGACATCGAGTTTCCTTTGTTCCTTCTGTTTGCATTTGTCAGTAGGCACATAGAGATGCACCAGTTCAGGGCTTCCAGTTGCTGCTAGAAGACTTAAGCCAGCATAAGCACAGAGCAATAGAAGCAGTACATGTCCTCATGGAAGTCATCTTTCTCCTACAACTGGCATGGGATTGTCCTTTCATTCCTTGATAACATTAGCAATAAAATAGGATTTTTCTTTCGGAATGGCTACATCTGCCTGGATTTTCTTCTGTATGGATTCATCAGATTAGAGTGTGATGAGTATCGCCCTAAAGCTCTTAGAGGACATGGGTGTGATGTTGGAAATTGCTGTAGGCAAGCCCTTGTTTCCTTCCCAGACCTGGCTATGTTCCAATTTCCCCAACAGTTCTTTTATCTCTTGCATTCCCTATTTCATTACTGTTATCCCCTCCCGAGTGTAGCATGCAGCCGTA